CATATTGCAATTTCTGTTCTTATTATCGCTTTTCTTTGGCAGTCCTTATTACTGGTTCCGATACTGTATTCATTTCTATGTTTGGTCTGCTCAGGATATTTTTTTTTTGCCTAACATATGTGCTGACAGGACCCAAAGGACACAATGGATAAAGGCGCTATTTAGATCCAGTGACAGGACCCAAAGAGTGTGAGTTCAATACCCGGTTAAGGCAGTGGAAAACTTTCAGAGGGAAAATTAACAGGAGGTAACTGATAACTGACATCCATTAAACATGGCACGTGGAACTAGAACAGTCTACCCCAGTGAGCGAAATAAAAGGTTAAGTTCGACATTCCAACCACCTGAAGAAGGCCGGAGCGTACAACGGCCGAAACGTTGTAATAAATATGGCGACAAAGACGAGGACAATAGTCCGAACAATGTAAATAATGTACATAATACCTCATCTCAGATATATAGACAGATACGACTTGTGTTATTCGCTAGAAATTATTATTTGCGTCTTCTATCTGTGACACTCGATAAAATTGTTAGATATACTTCCTCTGTGTATTATTTTTTTCTTTTGTGTTTAAATAAAAGACATTCGAAACAGGAAAATCTTAATCGGCTTGTTCGGGAACTCAAATTGAAATGTGAATGCGAATGGAGTTGTTGTATTAATCGGAGAATTTGAACAAACTTCTTTGTAAGAATAAACTATTTCCGAAAATAAGAATTCTTTAAAATTACCGAAATGTTTGAGGCAGAGTCTTTTGGTAAATGAAATGTTGTCATCTGATTTCAAAAATATCCGACAGGGATTGGTGCGAACAGATTTGGAAGGACATTAATCAGGAAATTTTAAAACATGATCAACAAGATGTTTTATTTCCTCCTTTTCAAGTCTGATAATCGGTTTTCTTTCTGGAAATCAAAATACAGGTAAGAATCAGTAAAAACATCAAACACAAACATGTTTTACTATCTTAAAATATTCTGGTGTTCTTCATTTGGTTTTAACTTCTTCACAATCGATTCCTGCTTTTAATAAAATCTAAAAAAATGTAAACAATGAAAGTAAACAAAAAAAAAGGCATAATGTCTCATTTAAACCTGTCTGCTGTTGAATCTCGAAATACATTTGTAAAGTTCTGTGCAGAGATTTTCGTCGCTTCACTGTCCGGTCTGTCTGTTAATGGTCAACGACGCTGAAAAACAAAAATGGAAAAAATACGAACGTTAGGAACCAGCCAAGCCAACCAATCAAATTTAACGGGCAAATATTTGCCAAATGCACGTCTTCGCAATACACTCGCGATTTTTGTCATAGACGCATCATGAAAATATAGTAAAAAAGCCGGTCTGCACAAACACTCTACGGTTTTTCATCAGCGACACAAGATGGTGGTCGAGCCCAGCTAGGAAATCAAATTTTGTAGTTTTTGTTTTTCTTTTGTAGGGGCAGTTAAAAATGAATTAATAAATAAAAATAAATCCTTTACATGTCAAAATTTAAAAATAATAAATAACATAATCTGACCTAGAGCCCAGAATTCTAAAATCAGACGCTTCCTTTTTTCTTTTTTTTTTTTTTTTTTTTTTTACAATGTTTCCTTTGCTGGGTCTGGGCGTAAAGTATGACGCCGTTAAACTGGATAATGGCTAGTAGTCAAAGGATAACCTTTAACTCACGGATTGCTGCTCTCCTGAAGAAAAGTAGTTATTCCCTATGGACTACAGAAACTTTATAATTCAAAGAATTACTTTGCACTCTCAGACTTTAAAAATTAACATGAATAAGAAACGGACATAAATAACAGTATATGCTAATATACAGTGTATCCATAAAGTCTGTGTGCAATTTAAAATACTTAAGTATTTAAATTGCACCCAGACTTTATGGACACCCTGTAAACTACATACATATATATTGCAAGGGGAACAAAACCAATGAAGATATATTTTTCGTAAAATGGTAAATCGAAAAATTATATAAAAATATTTCTTATAAAAACAATTATATAAAATCTCTCTCTCTCTCTCTCTCTCTCTCTCTCTCTATATATATATATATATATATATATATATATATATATATTGATGCATGTTTCATTAAATAATATAGACAAGTTTAAATCCAATCTAAGCTTTCAGCTTAGATTGGATTTAAATATGTATCAATATGATGATTTCCTTTCGTCTTTCAATGATAATGTTATTAAGCTTATCAGACAATATGAAAGGAACTTACATAAAATAAATAGACAAAACTTGTCTATATTATTTAATGAAACATGCATTAATGAAAAATTGCTGCCTAAATATACACAATATTTATGTATATATATATATATGTGTGTGTGTGTGTGTGTGTGTGTATTTGTGTGTGTTAGTATGTGTATGTGTGCCTTTAGATAGCATATCTTCAGTCAAATACATTTCATTGAATAATATAGACATATTGCGTCTACTTAATTTTATACTGATCTTTTACAGTTGTCTAATCACTTTCTTGACGTTAAGATGAAATTCACTAAGTAAGGCGTCGGAGTTTTTCGTTTTTTTTTGGGGGGGGGTCGTTTTTTTGGGGGGGTGGATTTGTTTTTTTTGGTGGGGTAAACCCAGCTACTTTCGAACTCTTCTAAGATCACGTTCAGGGGTAAATTACAAATTTATTGCAGTTACAATGAATTTGTTTTCGTAATTTAACGCTGCTGCAGATGATCTTAGAAAAGCTCGAAAGTCCTTTGGTTTTAAAAATTAAAATATATATGATAGAAATTAAGGAGGATTTGAGATAATTATAATTAAGTAATTCATCGAGTCTAAAAGAAACCTCAACAGAATGCAGAAGGCACTGGACGGCCATTTTGTCCTATATTTGGGACTCATCAGCAGTGTGCATCCACTACCGAGAATTGAATTATTTTTTTTCCCTGCACGTTGGATAATTTACTGATATCCCTCTGGTCATTACAAACTTTCAGTCCGGACGATATTTTGCAAGACTGTCTCTCAGTAGCTATCAATAAAAAAACAAATATGGATGGCTGTTGAGAAGGTTTAACTTAAACTCACATAAAATCAACAACAGCCTCGGACGTCATCGGAAAACAATAAAATAGGAGGCATTACATTCAGAGGATTCGGTACTATCCGCGGTTTCAGGTATCTGTTTGGGATCTTGAAACGTATTTATCATCAGTAATAGATTTACTATGTATATGAATAGCGTTATACAAATAAACACATAATTTTACCAACAAAAGGGCTTAATTTTCACAAAAGATCATTTATTCTATAACAAGTTTTATCTTCAGGAAAACATGTTTAACATAAATATGTTTGATATTATAATACAATGAAGAATGGCAGAATTTACGCGGCATAAAAACCAGTTATGAAATAAAACAGAAATAATACTGTAAAAATTAAATATGAAATAAGATCCTTTACCTTTTTGTAAACTAAATGTGTTCATTTCAAACATTTACATGCAGTAATCTTGATAGATGTTCGGGCGAGTTACGTCCCTTACTTATATCAGAGCTTCATGACCAGGATCTGCCATGCCATGTTTGTGGTGTGAAACCCTCCTCATTCAATTCGTGTTCCTTTAGTATGGAACAAGTTCCACTTAGACAGCTTTTTCCTCAGAATTGTTTTGTGGAACAAACTTCGGAAGGGATACTTCTCTGACAGCTACACTCTTGGTATCTTTAAGTCTAGGGTCAACAGCTATCTCTCCTGGCTAGATTGTATTACCACTGACGACAGATAATGAAAATTATGGTGGGGTTTTTATTTCTCGCTTTCCTCAAAACGAATCTCATATAAAACACAACAGAAAGAAATACAACTAAACTTGTAAATAAAATAAAAAACGCCTACGCCCCCCCCCTCGCTATATTCATTTTTCTAATATTTGTGGCATACGTTCTAACTTCTGCAGTGAAAACTCTTTTTTCTCTTAGTTCGGTCGCCAAATATCTTTGCCCTTTGTGAAATTAACTTAAACTGTTCCATTGCCACAAATGAATTTTTGGTTTCGGGTTATCTCCCCCTTTGCAGAAAGGATTCAAACATTCATATTCATGGCCTTGATTGTTTTAGGGATAATCTTCTGATGGTCAAGAAATTGTCTCTCAAGTACCCCAGACTACTCTTTCATGTGCTTCTGTCTTTCGTTACTAGACTATTAACTATCGCTTTTTTTCATCGCTCCCCCTCTTCCCAGGACTGCAGTATATTAGGCATAATAGCTGACAATAAAGAAAAGGCACTTTCTCCCCATCCATCTGCGAACAACAATCTCCGGTGACTTTAATGCTCACCATGACGCATGACTTATACAATCTAAAGGTACCAATGATGCCGGTATTCAGACATTAATTTTTCCATTGTCCAATCCCTTACTCAAATCATGGAATTCCCTACTCATTTCTCTAGTAAAACCGAGCAACAGGCTTCTCTATTTGATTTATTTCTTACTTCCTCTCCTCGCTGTTACCGAGAGTCGCAACACTGCCCTCTTGGTAACTCGGATCACTCTGGTAGCTTCCAATCATCTATCAATAAGGGACAACCAAATCATAAAACCTCTTTCCGTTACCAGCATGTTGATTCGGAATCACTCCGTGATTTTCTTCGTGACGGCCCTTGGACTGACATCTTTAAATTCCCAATTGAAAATTGCGCTGCTAATGTTTTTTCTTGGGTCAAAGTCAGCATGATCGCTTTCATCCATTCTCGGAAATACCAAGTGAAACGTCTATCCCCTCCATAGTCCACACTAGCGTAGCCTTTAACAACTTTGGCTGATGTAACTATTGGCCGCTCTCTAAGCGGGCATTAAATAAGTGTAAGGCCTCTACCATCCCCCTTTCCAGTCAATTTGAGGTGTTAACATCCTCTGCTGATAAAGCTGAATGTTTTGCCCGTAAATTATTTCAAACTCTATTCTTGTCTTATCTGGGACTGATATATCTGTCTATTCATGCCGGTTTTTCTATCACGAGATATGCAGACAGATAGATAGATAGATAGATAGATAGATAGATAATGAAGAGACTCAGATAGATAGATATATAGATATATATATATATAGATAGATAGATAGATAGATAGATAGAAAGGGATGTATGGTGGAGTAATAGATAGCGGCTTGGAATGAAGAATCTATTACATTTGCTGTAATCTAGGTACATGATGATGATGATAGATGTTTCGACTTGAAGAGATGCTGCAAATCAGTGTGACTGACGATCTTCAGTAATTTTATGAACTATAACTTTCATCACGGTATTTAGCATTGTTGAATTTATCGCCAATATTTTTTGTCGAGATTTACAAACGCTACCTTTCAATCAATTTCGCAAACCAGTTGATGAAATTTAAGTTAGCCGATTTGTTTGGGAAAATACTTTGACAAAAACCCCACTTTACGGTTGAATAGTTTAATTTAATTTTATAGGACTTTATTGTAAACAGTATTTTTAAGAAAATTTCTTTTTAACAGCGAAGAATAAATTCTTAGGGTTTCTTACTCTTGAGCATGCAACATACAAATTGCCATGCGTAAATATTTCTTTCTGGGGCCAAATTCCAACTGGCCTCATGGTTTGTTTATACTTCCCGCAAACGCAGTTCTCGCGAACTGGAAACTAGATTCTTGTATATAAAAAAATAAAAGATATGCAAAAACAACCAATATTGCATTTTTATTAAATAAATATTAGTTATTTTAATTATTAATCTGTTTTTTAATATAGTGGGAGCATTTTGTATGTCAAATAATAAATCTTTTAATTTTACCAAAATAATGAATAAAGATTTATTGTAATAAGCTACATCCCCTAGTAAAACCAACTGTATTTTGTAGCCCTGTAGTACCTGTTTGTACTTCTCCCAAAAATTTGGTTTCGATTGGTCAATGTATGACTGTTTTAGAGAGTATAACGGAAGGCCGGACTGATGGAAGTCACAGAATTCTATAGAAATAGATAATTCATCTCCCATCATCCCTGTATTGCACTAACTGACGAAAGTGCTGCAGGTTTTCCGAATTCTTCAATGTTTATACGGGGAAGGATGGAATTTTGCTGATAGTTTTTTTTTTAAGTCTAATTGTTAAATGTTTATACAGTGTTTAATCGTCCAATGCAAATGGATATTATTCTTCCATTTGGCATTCGTTAATATTTACTCATTCCAAAGCTATTGTGTTTTCTAAATCCGATACAATATCAAATCTTTTATTATTATTATTATTATGATGATGATTTCTTGTTTAAAACATACATCAGTTTTATAACTATTATCGACCAAAGCAAAAAATGGCTGAAAGGCCAGAGCGTACAACGGCCGAAACGTTGTAATAAATATGGCGATAAAGATGAGGACAACAGTCCGAATAATGTAAATAATGTACATAATACCTCATCTCAGAAATATAGACAGATACTGAAGAAGTTGCAAACTTTCAAAGGTTAACAAAGGAAGAAATCATCACCTTATTTGTAAACACTAACATAAATAAAATAAAAAGATTGCTTTCATGTTTATTTTCCTTCATATCATATTTCTATTCCCAAATTCATAGTTTCTACACGATTTCGTTTCATTAAGACATGGATAACTAACATTATTTACATTATTGGGACTGTTATCCTCATCTTCATTGCCACATTCACAACGTTTCGGCCGTTGGACGCTACAGCCTTTTTCAGGTGATGGGAATTTCGAATCGAACCCTTTATTTCGTCCACTGGGGTAGATTGTTCTCGTTCCATGTGCCATGCCTATTCCGGATGTCTCAGTTATTTCCTTTTAACTCAACTCTCCAAGATTTGGTTTACCATTTCTGTGGCCTGGTATTGAACTCACAACTCTTTCGGTCTAGTCACTGGATCTAACCGACGTCTATAAGGATAAAGACGTTGATTAGATTCAGTGACGAGACCCAAAGAGTCGCGAGTTCAATACATGGCATGTGGAACTAGATCAATCAATAAGGCAAGGCACGTGAAACTTGAACAGTCTACCCAGGTGGACGAAATAAAGGGTTCGGTTCGAAATTCCAGTCACCTGAAGGAGGCCGAAGCGTAAAAAGGCCGAAACGTTGGGAATATTGCGATGAAGATGAGGATAACAGTCCGAATAATGTAAATAATTCAAGTAATCATATTTCATCTCAGAGATACAGACAGATATGGATAATTAATTCAAAAATTAAAATGTATTTTTTACGTCCTTAATTGCGATCTGAGAAGTAATGGATCCAATGGTCTACCAAATTATGCATTAATTGTAATAAGCCCTTGAAACAAAAAAAATATACCAAGATAAAGGGGATTAACTTTTCAAGCCAAATCAATTAGGCCCTTAATTTCTACCATTTCCTTTAAATTTCTTAATCCGACTCCAGCAACGAATTAGCGCCAAACCAAACTGAAACTTAAAATTTTAGTTCTCAGTGTAACGTCGAGATTTGAGTTAGGTCTTCAGTTCCGGGTCTGAGCTGCACTATGATGTGACCTTTAGTAAAGAACGCCATGGGACTAAGCATCAGAATTTGGAGGCTAATCCTTTCTTTTTGAACCCGAGAACTTATTAAAACTTAATTATATCTATCTATCTGTCTAGTTTGCAAGCCTTCTATTTATGTGTTATTGTGCGTGTGCGTGCGTGAGAGAGAGAGAGAGAGAAAGAAAGAAAGACAGAGTGAGATAGAGAAAGAGTACGTGTGTGAGAACGTACAACGCGGGAATGCGAAACCAAACAGGCGCGCGATTCATTCTTGCCTTGGTCACTTTGTGTTCAATGTTGATTGAGACGAGCAATTTCTTCAACGGAAAAAAAAGTCAATAAATAAATAAACGAAAAACCCACTGAAGCATTTGTAATAAGGATCGAAAGCCGTTGGCACTGAGGCATAAAAAAAGGCTAAGGAATATGATATTGATGAGATATCGATCTGATAAAGTTGATCTGCAGGTAAACATGGCGAATAATCGATAATACAGCGGTCAAAAGCGAATCTGATATGCAGGCGGAATAGTTTCATAAAAGATTTGCTAACACTATGCCATCAGGAAAGATGCATAACAAGGCCTTTGTAATTGTTTATTGGAAACGTAACCGACTAATATATAGCAAAGTACAAGGTGTCAATAAAGTCTCTTTACAATTTAAAAGAATTATTATAAAAGCAAATGAACAAATATGTGGAAATTGTTACAAAATGAGGAGTAGATATTGAAATCTTATTTTAACTAATTGAATCCACCTCCATATAGGGTACCATTGGTTGCACGAAACACATCAAGATGGTACTCAATTTCTTACCATGTTCGCTATAGCATAGCCTCATCAATGGTGGCAATAGCACCATTGATCTTTTGCATTAGATCAGTGATATCCCGTATCTTTGTTCGATACACCATATCTTTAACATAACCCCCTAAAAAGAAGTCCAGGGGAGTGATATCTGGTGAATAAGGTGGCCAGGGAACTGGACCATCCCTTCCAGTACACTGGTCTGGAAATGCTTGATTTGGGAATCCCCGAACATGCGTCCCCCAATGTAGTAGTTCACCATCTTGTTGGAAAATGATGCCTGGTTGAAGGCCATTTAGTTGTGGTGCCACATCAATTGCCTTTGTAATATATATTTTTTAATTGTAAAATAATTTATGGACGCCCTGTATTTCAACATTATTTCAATCTCTGTTTATATATATATATATATATATATATATATATATATATATATATATATATATAAACATCGGCCACCTGCGTAAATGCGAAGCTCTTCAGTAAAATAAATAGAGCACTATGGCTGCTTGGCGTTTGTTTACGTTTGTAAAAACAATACGCTAGATTTGGCTGACTCATTTTTTTTCCAGTGAAGATAGCTCAGTATAGAAGCTCTTACTGACAGTAAATCGGTTAGGTTTCGATCCGGGCATTCGGTTGTCGAGTCGCACTGAGGAACTGTGATACAGCGAAACAGTACTGTCTGCGAATGATATATATATATATATATATATATATATATATATATATATATATATATATATTAAAACATGTTTCGTTGTATAATTTTTTTTGTTTCGTTGTATAGTTGTATAAACATGTTCTATCTACTTATTTTCGATAAGATCCTTTCATATCCGAGTGTAATTTTGTGATATCATTATTGAAGTACAAGAGAAATTCGCCGGGTTTATATATATTTGTTTTATTTCCATGTACTTTCGAAATGTCCATAGCATCATCAAGGTATTGTTTATCATAAAATAAATATTATAGTATTCATTATTTTTAGAGACAAACAGTTGTTATCTGAATGTTAAATTTCTTACAAATGGAGTAAGGAAAGCTGCGTCAGTGCGTGACCGCTGAAACCGTTTAAAGGGAGGTAACTAAGTATGGTTTGGGGAGGGGTTTTTTTTTTACGGAGTAGTAAAAAGAGAAGCTTATCCACGAGTATGAAAGGATCATATCGAAAATAAGTAGACAGAAGATGCCTAAACTATACATGTCTTAATCAAAACCTACTGCCGAAATATACGCATATATATCTATCTGTAAACACTAATATTCCATGGTTATGATTTATTATATTCGAATCAGAATCACGATCCAAATCATATATATATATGTGTGTGTGTGTGTGTGTGTGTGTGTGTGTGTGTGTGTGTGTGTGTGTGTGTGTGTGTGTGTCGTTTTGCTGACAGTTTTCTGTCTATCTCATTCTGTTCTATATATATATATATATATATGATTAATACAAAAACACACAAACTATACATACCCATCAGACCCATTGTATCTAGTATCAACGGGGCTCTCACAAACTAGCTAAAGCAATCGCAATCATCGACCGAACACACATTAAAGACTCTGTTCTTAACTAAAAACAGGGAATATTTCACACTGAATAGTTATAAATGGCTTATTCAGTGTTACACCAAGCTGTTACTTGTATATAATTACGGTAACCCCAAAATTGTTATTCCATCGAAAACTATAGTTAACTGAAAGGACTCGGCAGGCCACCCGCTGACCTGATGTTTACTGGATATAATCAAACCACTAGCAGGGAAGTTTTCCTCAAGGGAACTCGGCATACTTTATAGAATTGAACCGAGGACCTACCATCCAACGCAATTGGATGGTAAGTTTGAATTTAGTCAGAGACTGTTCACTAAGTTTCTTAAAGATAAGTTCCATATAGTGGTTCAAACAAGAATGAAATCAGATCCGCCCCCTCCCTGGGGGAAAAAGTAACATTTCAACATATAATCAGAGGGAAATTTTGCACAAAAACAAACAACATTATTTTGACTGGAGTTTGACATATGCCAAAAGAAGAATGCTTGGCGTTGGATTCACAAATTATCACCATTGATGGCGAACATATAAATGGAATACTTCGAGGGAATCCTTTTAGGAACGACTCCACAGAAGCCAACAGTATGGCACCTTCATCCTCTGGCATTATTAGGAAGTTAACTAAATATGGCTGGACCATGTGAAGTAAATAAGACCTTCAATCCAGTTCGAAATGGAAGAAGATAATAATAATCTGCTAGCCTTACTGGATGTTCTAATAGCTCAGACATATAATGAGTTCAATGTCCGTATATTTTTTAATTAAGTGTACCCATGAAAGGCAATAAAGCCACTAAGACACAAGGGGTTACTGGGTGTGGAAAAATTAGAAGCAAAAACAATACTAATAAGCGAGAACGCTAGAAGTGTAATCAGAATGACAGTCGATAGCGATTGACATTGCATTTAATTTTTTGCAGATTAAAGCTGACTGGAAAGCATTGAGATGGACAGGAGTTCCACAAGTGAGAAGTGTGAGAAAAGAAACGAATAACATAGAATTTATGGCTACATCGAGCAAGCTCAATTGTAAATTGATGAGATCTCGACCCCAGTCTAGTACTGCGCTTAAATCCAAACAGTCTATGTACTATCGTGAAGAGCAATATTTATTCTGTTAAATACACAGAAATGTGGGACAAGGCCGAAGGGGGGATTGGGGAAAAGATGGTCTTCTGTCTTAACTATAACTTAGCTAGCCACAAACACTGACCCAATCGTACAAACAATATTCCTGACACCAAAACAACACATTCATACATACCTTTCTTATTACATCCATTATAATACCTCATTGTCTCTATGAAAATACTAACTAGTCCCCATATTGTCTGTGGGGGGAGGTGAATAAAACAACAATTCTAAAATCGAACCCCAATCTATCGTAGTACCGTGAAGAGCTCATCCGAAACAACACATTCATACATACCTTTCTTATTACATCCATTATAATACCTCATTGTCTCTATGAAAACACTAACTAGTCTCCATATTGTCTGTGGTGCGGGGAATAAAACAACAATTCTAAAATCGAACCCCAATCTATCGTAGTATCGTGAAGAGCTCATCCGAACAATTACCATGTAAGTATTTATAGAAAAGACACCGGGAGACAACCTTACGGCAAAGTGACTGAATCTGATAATATATTGCTGATACTTTTTTGGGATTTTATCAAGAATCTTTAGATCAATAGCAAGAGAACCGGACCATATGTGACAGGAATGTTTTAAGCATGAATGAGTGATAGACTTAAAAATATATAGGATATATTCTGGAGTAAAAAAAAAAAAAAAAACTGGTCCCTCCAACATAGTAAACCGACTTTCTTATCAGCTGATCTAGCAATGGATTCAATATAGTCTTTCCACTTCATGTCAGCTGAAAACGTTAGCCAGAGAACGCGAAACGAGACCCTTTCCTGAAGGTTAGCATCAGCCTTGCTGATAGAAGGCAGCGAGGCGTCTCTCAGATGATTCATGGACAGAAGTTTAGTTTTGAGGGCTTTAAAATTGACAAGTCATCTTTTGCCCCAGTTAACAACAGAGTGAAGGTCGTTTTGGACCACGTCTTCCATTTTGACCTTAACGAACCGATCAAACTCACTATGGAGACAGGGGTAAATGGTTGTGTCATTAGCGTAAATACAAAGTTGAGAGCTGATTCCATCGGCAAGATCATTAATGAAAATTAAAAACGGAGCGGGACCAAGGACTGAACCCTGGGGAACACCCACCTTAGTACGAAAGAATCTAAACAAGTGACCGTTCACGATAACTTTTATTTCACGATTTGATAGGAAAGACAGGGTCAGTTCAAATATTAGTCAGGAGACACCGTTACTTTTCAACTTGTTGAAAAGACCCGTATGCCTAACCCTGTCAAAGGCTTTCGAGATGTTCAAAGCTACAGCTCGGGTTTCAGCATTTTTATCCAGAACATGATAGACTCTTTCCTAAATTACCGTCAGTGCACCAACAGTTGACCTCGAAAAACATAAACCATATTACTTGTCTAACGGCCCTGTGATGAGAGATGCTTAACCAATTCAACATTGATTAGGAACTCTAGACGTTTCCCAAGAGGTAAAAGATGTTGTTCATGATGACGGTCGTCTTTGAGTATAGAATCCAGAGGTTAGCAGAGAATATTTCGAAGACAGTAGGGAAGCGTAGTTCAGGTTAGCAGTGGATATCCCGGTAAAGTAGCAGAGCGTAGTTTAGTAGTTCTTTCTTCTGTTCTTTCGCCTGACAAGTTGGCGCTGGACATTCGGAGAGAGTAAACAAAATGGCCGCCTTTATACACGACGGATTGAATATTTTACGTCTTCTGATTGGTTAACCTTCTATTGGTGGACTATAAAATGAGTCAAGTCATTTGGACTGGCTCACTAGTACACACATATATACAAAAAAAACTGCAACAAAAGGCTAATAGGCCTATATTTGGAAGTATCAAACGGTTCACCCGAGTTCTTAAAAATTGGAAAACAGATGATTATTTCCAGCAGACAAGAAAGAAATTTATTATAGTGTTCAGGGAGAACAGGATCCGGTTCGGGGACACACTTGTTAATGAATATTACAGAGATACCATCGGGTCCTCATTCTCTGAGGGGATCAATGTTAGAGATGATAGCGGAAACCATAAAAGGGTTTATATGCATATCACAACAGAGCCTCAGTTCTAAGTGGGAGATTAGGCAGGGACACTCCAGATGAGTCAAGAGTAGAGTTTAAAAAGTTTACGGGCAAAGCATTCAGCTTTATCTGCAGAGGATGTTAACACCCCGAATAGATTAAAGAGGGGAGAAATAGAGGCCTTAAGCTTATTTAATACACTATTACAGAGTCGCCAGTAATCACGAAAGCCAAAGTTGTTAGATGCAATGCGGTACGCTACTCTCTCAGAAAACACAGCTTAGCTCTTTTGAAGACTCGTTTACATTTATTACAAGGAGAAACGAATAGACGCCTGTTGTGATGGGAGTTGTAATGCTGGTACAGCCGGAAATAGTGATTATGTGGGCTCTAGCGAACGAACATGCTGGCGTGAACCATGGAGAAGAGTGAGGTTTCACCTGATATTTCCGAAAATGAATGACAGCATTAATGCCGCCTTTGACACAAGAAGAACCCTCAGTGGTTTAATTCTCAATTTGAAGTCAGTACATGCCACTCTTTATCGGACAGTTCCTCTGCTTCACTTTCCACCTCCCATACAGCGCAAAGAAATGGATCGTTTGATGCCTACAACACCGGGAAATTAAAAAATGGTTACCAAAACATATGCAAACAGGAAATGACCAACATCAAGCGTACCTTTCAGAATAGCATCTACCCTGCAAACATAACATCAGGGAAACAGAAGGGTCGAGGAGGAGGTGCACCATTAATTACTGCGGTCTGTCTGCCTGAAGCCAAGAGCTTATTGTGAAAGACATCGGGACAGTATCCAGATGCTTTTACGCGCTCCTGAGAAATATCAAGTCAAGCCTAACACGAAGGAGATGACCAAGAACTGTACATTCTATTCTTTGCAGTAGTGGGAATGAATATAAAGGTCAAACAAGCTGAAGAAACATCGAAAAGCCCTAGCGAAGGGAGATACAATGAAATCAGGCATGCCTAATCATGTAAGAAGAGAAATAGGTAGTCATCCACTCTTGTGGAATGAAGTGAAATTACTAAACAAGAAAAGAGGCTGGAGAGCTAGATGACTGAAAGAATCAGTGTATATGCTAGACGATAAGGACCTCCTTAAGAAATTTAGAAATAAATACGATATGTGAACCGCTAATAAATAAAGAAAAGGCAAATGACAGAAGTTTTCCAACTGTAGTAGCAGTAGTTGTAACAGGGAAAGGGATGTTCAGGCGTAGCCCATTTGACGTCGCTAATTCGGTGTGGCTGGTTCGGCGTAGTCGAGTCGATAGAGAAATTTTTCATTAGAGGGACGATTAGGCGTCAGATTACTACTTCGTCGTTAAAGTCAAATTTGTTCCCCCTCTCTCTCTCTCTCTCTCTCTCTCTCTCTCTCTCTCTGTCTGCCTGTCTCTCTCTCATTCTCTCTCTCTCTCTCTCTCTCGTTTTCTAGTCAAATTATTACTTTGTTGTTATATGTTCGAATAGTCCAATTTAAGAAAAGAAGTAGTTGAAAGGTGTTGAGCATAATTCCGAAAAGTAAAAGTAATTTATGAGATTAAATAGCTTTATTAAGTTTTTTAATTTTTTTTTTAAATACAAAATTTTTAATTTCAGTTTTTATTTACTTTATTCCGTTAGTGTTTGAATAAGATCCTTAATTCCCTAAATGAATAAAAAAATTATATTTTTGGGGTGTTTTTAATGTTTTTATCATCTTTTCGGGAGGTTGCCTCCGGTCAATGACAGTCTGACGCCGAAACGCCTGTGCCGAATAGTTCAATTATTTGTCTGACGCCGAATCAGCCACGCCAAATGGGCAACGACGAAACGTACCAAACCCTGTAAAAAAAAGAGTACATTAAATGAGTGCAGTCAAGCATGCCAGGTAGCTGGATTCATCTACAGGTAGGGTTCATGTTTTTCTACACAGATTTGTCTCACGGGACAATAAAATTAGCCTTGTATTGTTTTATGAATTTGGTGACATAGTAACTGAGTTCAATCCCTGGGATGGGTAGTGTGTACTTGGACTCCGTGGAAACAAGGCGAGCAATAACTGAGCAGTATTAAAATAAAATAAAAATGACGGAATATCACAAGATATGAACAGTGGAACGAGAAAAGTGTAACCTCCGTAGATTAAAGTAAGTGTTCACTTCAAAAGTCCCTGTAGTTTACCCAGATCGATAAACACCTGATGAAGGCTGGAAAGGCTGTGATTGATTGACTGATTTGTTTTTTTTTTGGGGGGGGGTGTTGTTTTTTTCTGTTTTTTGTTTTTTTTAAAGCTTATTAAGATTACGCAAATTATTTAAAGCCAGAATATATTTTTAGATTACAAGAAATTTTTGGAGATAATAATGATTCACTGATACAAAGTCTACTAATTAACCCATAGTTGGGGAGGAAGAAGTAGATTCATAACTTTCCGAAATAAGTAACTATAATGAACCCGACTGGAATTTGAACTCGGCTCTCTGATTAACAATTCCGAAACTTTATCCATTACACCATCGACACCTGGTATTCCCAAGCGGTCACCCATCGAGGTAATAACCTGGTTCGATGTTTCTTGACTTCGGTGATCGTACGAGTACCGGTCGGAAATATTTTGAAATAAAAAAAATGATGTGGACAAGGGTCCGCTTGTAAATAATGATAACTCCTTATCCCAAGAAATTCGGTCAGAAATTGTATTTTCTACGTACAGTCTGAATCGTTAGACATAGAATTCTAAAAACATACACCCTTGTGCGAATTAATTGAAACAACCACTTTAGTTTCCTTTCTTTCATCACACGGTCAGTTTTAGACCCACTGGAGTGACAGGGTGAAATCATTTTCTATTTTATTTTCAGATTAGGCCATTGCTAGTGGTGTGCAATAATATGAATCTAATTTTGGGATGTATGATGAAATTTGTTTGGCCTTGAAAATATTGTGTCATCCGTAATTGCATCAGATTTTCATCACGCCCAGACACTATTGCCTCGATTGTCGATTTGTTGTTCTACGGCCATTGCCTGCGATGGACGTTACTCCAAGGAAGCGTGCGAACACAATGGCAAGCCTTGCCAGTGAGCAAATTGAAGTACTATCGACTGGCTTGGAAACTCTCCTGATTTAAATCCAATCGAGAATCTGTGGTAAATCTGCAAGTAAAGACTTCATAGAATGGACATACGAAATACTAACATGTGCACTGGGTCATGTTTTATTGGAAATATAAGAATAAAAATGTAAATAAGAACAGAATTATTCGTTTTGTTTCAAATAATTTGCACAAGGGTGTAGTTCTTGTTTTGGTATTTTGAATGAACCACATTACAATTCTCAATACCGCTTCGAGAGTATAAAGGTGACTGACATGACTTTTTCGATATTATTAATGAGGACATATACACAGAAATTATATTTGTTATTAATAATGTGAGCATGTATGAATCGAAATGCAGTTTGCGTCAATGTATGACCGTGGGGAGAATCAATATTAATAAGCGGATCGATTAAATATTTTGTTTAAACAGGAGATTATCAATAAATCTCAGCCAAAGACTAATTTTTTTAGTTCAAACATTTTGTCTGTCATCAGCATGGCTAACCTAGACTCCAGGAGAGCAACACACTGCAGCTTCTTGGACTCGCGTTTTCCCCTAACTTGATGTGAAGAGACTGCTTTGAATCAATTTACTGCAAGGAAAGCTGAGTCATTGTGTCGTGCCAGAAATCTTTCCCGTCAGATTCCATCTTGCACATTTACAAATCTACCTTTCGTCTGTGCAGTGAATAATGCTGCCAGATCCGTTGTACATCAAGAGATGTTTGACAAAATCCAAAGAAGGATCTGTAATATAATCGATCCTGAACAGCCATCACTGCTTACAGTTACTTTCTCACAGATCTGGCATGGCTTCTATCTGCCTTTTCTACAAATATTTTCATGGCATTTACTCTGACGACCTTTTTTTCCCTGGTGCCCCGACTGCATGAATTTATTACTTAATTGGCATCTATGCCCCACTATTTTATTGTTTAAAGAGCTAAACGTAACCATCACTTATACTCCAACAGTTTCTTTTCTCGCACTTCCCACCTGTGGAGCTCCGATCCGTTTATTTTCTTCACTTATAACTACAATCTTCAAAACTTTAAATGCAATGTTAGTCGCCATCTTCTGTCTTCTTGAATCCCGTTTAACTTTTTGCCTTTCCTCAGTCACCCTATTCTCAGTCTTTCTTTTCTTTCACTTTCATTCCCAGTAACGTCTTGAGTACTAGTGACATTCCCTCCTTGCTTGGGATGGAATGATTTAAAAACTCAGTTATCGTTATATATATATATATATATATATATATATATATATATATATATATATATATAATTATTTATTCGAAAATTATAATTTTCGAATAAATAATTATATTCGCTCTTCTCTGTATTGAGCACTCTTTTAAGAATAGTAATTGTTGGTTATTGGAATTTATTCCGTATACACCAATCCTATACTTGTATATATATATATATATATATATATATATATATATATATATAGTGGACTCTCCCGTCGTATTGAACAATTAGGGTCAAGCAACTCAGTTCCTAGGAACCGACAGCCAGATACCAGTACATATGAATTGATTATAGTAGTGAAGGCTTTGTGCAGAACCAAGTACACTTTTTGAAGAGTTGAATACAGAGACTGGGTGCATCACGTGCGACAAGATCCCCAATTCTGAGTTGTCCTTATCCTAGGACTATTTGCCAAGGTTATTAGCACGTAAGTAAATGTAATGGATTCAACTGGAATCCGAACACGGCTTTCCGATTCCTCAATCTGAGCCACTGTGCTTTACTCCACTATGCGTCTGGGTATATATGTGTGTGTGTACGTACGTATATATCTATGTGCATAAAAATGGTAATTAATCCATAAAACCTAACGTTAAACTATTTTATTCTTCTTCCAGTAAAACATATGCTTGCTCCTGTATTAAGATAAATGATAAATAAAACGAAGTATTTTTAAAAGAACAAAAGACAAACTGACTTTAACATTAAAAGAACGAAACAGAAAAGTTATGCTACGTGGAACTAGAACAATCTGCCCCTGAGCACTAAATAAATGGTTCGGTTCGACATTCCAACGTATATCACATGAAGAAGGACAGACCGTACAATGACTTGATACGAAACATCATGAATATGGCAATAAAGATGAAGTCAACAGCCCGAACAAAGTAAATACTGTAAATCATTTTAACTCTTTGCAGACACCGTGCCTTCTCCACTGGCACACTTTCTAAAGAATTAATGGATTTTATTTTTTAATCCGACATTTTTATTACTTGAAACGTTATTTTTAGTGGAAACCCGTGTTTGAGTAGACGCTCTGTTTATTTTATTCTCGTACTTCTTCCGGCTTTTTGCTTCGCAGTCAACTTTGTTCTTCAAAAATTTAAATGCAATGCCAATGATTATCCTCTGTCTTCTTTATTCTTATCTTTTTTTTTTTGTTCTCTCTCCTTAATAGTGTTTTTTCTTTCTCATAACTCAGTAACCGCCCCCCTTGTGTCTTAGTGGCTTTATTGCCTTGCTTGGGGTGAAGTGATAAAAACAAACAGCATTTTTTTTGTCTACTGACCTGCGTACGCGAGAAAATTTAATAAAGAAAATGTGCCCTCCGTCAGAATTCGAACCTCTGTCCCACTTTGAGTGTTTCCTTCTGCAAAGTGGGTCGCAAGTTCGAGTCCTGCCGGAGGACATTTTTTTTTTTTATTAAGTTGACTCAAGCATGAATATCCGTAGATGAAATAAATGCTGTTTACTCAAATACAGGTATCCACTGACAATAAGGTTTGTACTAGTGCACTTATATTTTTAACCTGTTCAGCCCTGATCACCGCTTTACCGGTGGTAGAGAAAATAACGTAATCCCCAACCACCGGTTGAACAATGATAGTGAAAAATCACTTAATGCTCAGCTACTGGCTGAACGGTGGATAAACACTTGCAACTATTTTTTATATCTAATGTGAAACATTACATACCAATTATTTGCGAATTTTGACTCAGGTGATCAGACAGAAGGGTTCAAATTGTTCAGGATGAAGGGCTAAAAAGGTTAATGTCAACTCTGGTTTTAATTATTTCAGATTTTGCGTAGATATGGGAAATGAGCAAGATGAGAAAAATCAATCAACGATCGAATTTATGAAGTGAATAAGGATTTTTTTTCTGCATTTATTTCTTCATGCTTTCAAACATTGATACGCAGGTTTTCTTTTCCGGAAATCTAAATAATTTTAATTTTTTTTTATTATTGAAGCGTCAAAATGTAACAAGGACCACAACAACACAATGTCAATTGATTTGGCGTGTAATGTGCGATCCAACCGTTACTTTTTGCTTGCTATCTCTGTCAAAATACCTTCAACCGAAAAGACAAAAATGGATGTTAATTAAATTTTAATCTATTTATACTCGGGAGGGATTTTTGTTGTTATTGTTTCTCATTTAATTATATTATTTTTTTTTTCTTCGACATTTCTTTCTTTGCCTTCTGACAATGTTTCTCTGTATTTTTTCTTGCTTTCATTCATTCCATTTTCTTTCTTTTTCCTTCTTTTTTGATATTTCTTCTTTTTTTTTTCTATTCTTCATTATTTCATTCTATGTTTCATCCAATATTCTTTCTTTATGTTCGTTATTCATATCAAACCTTTTTATTTTCCTCTTTCTTTCTTTCCTTCTTATGTTTTCGCTTCCTTCATATTCCACTCTCCTCTTTCTAATAGCAACCTTCACATTCCCCATACATTTTTCTTTCTTCTTCGCTAACTTCATTTCTCCCTCTCCAATTACTTCTTCGCTTCCTTCATATTCCACTCTTGCCTTTCTCCTTCGATCGCTTCATTCCCCCTCTCCACTTTCTTCTTTGCGTACTTCATATTCCACTCTCTCATTTCCTCTTCCTTCACTTCGTGTAGTTCATTTTCCAATCGCCCTTTTCTCCTCCGCTTGATTTATTTCTCATTCTTTAATTTCTCCTTCATGTACTTCATATTCCATTCTCCATTTTCTTCTTCACTTACTTCATTCCCCTTCTCCGTTTTCTTCTTCGCGTACTTATATTTTCCTTCCGCCTCTTCTTTACTTACAATCATTTCCCCTTCTCTGTTTTCTTCGTCGCGTACTTCATATTCGACTCTTCACTTTTCTCTTCACTTACTTTAGTTTCCCTCTTCATCTCTTTCTTCGCGTACTTCATATTCCCCTTTCTTCTCTTTCTTCTTCGATTACTTCATATTACTATCCTTCATTTTTTTCTTTGCTTCCTTTAGATTCCACTTTCTTTTTTTTTTTCCTCTTCGCTTCCTTTCTATTCTCCCTTTTCTTTCTCTTTCCCTTCCATCCTATTCACTTCTCCTATGTCTTCCTCGCCTCCATCCTATTCCCCCCTCTTCATTCTTTTTCACTTCCTTCATTTTCAGCTTTTTTTTTTTTTTGGATTTTTTACTTTGATTTATTTTCTATTTTTCTTTCCAATTTTTTTCATGATATCTTTTTTCCTATTTTTGTTCTTCTTTTGTAAATCTTTATTGTTTTTTTATTCTCTTTCTTTTCTCATTCATTTCTTCTTTACTATACTTTTTCTTCCCTTCTCTTCCATCTATTTTTCTTTTCTATATCACCTCATTTTTTTCTTCCCTCTCTTTATTATGAGTTTATATTATTTTATTTTTTCATCCTTCATGCCTCGTGCTGTTTTCTTTCTTTCTTTCTTTCTTCCTTCCTTTCTTATCCTTTACCTAAAACTCTTCGCTTTTATCTTTGTTCATAGATATTTTACTTACTTCTTTCATTTCTTAACTATTGTCATTTTTCATTTCTAACTCCGACATTTTCTTTCTTCTTTTCTCTCCTTTTCCTCTGGGGTACTTTGGTTATCATTTCTTTAGCAACTTTTCACTCACCCTCTTTTCACTTTTGCTCTCCTGTTTTCTCACTTTCCTTCCCCTAAATGCAATCCTTTTTTTCTTTATTCCTTGTTATCGTTACTAGCAACGGACTATGGTTTGGTCATACTTAGAGGAAAAGGTGAGAGTAGACGATAGCATGGTGGTAGTGGGGTGTGTTGATTGGTTGTTTGCTTGACTTGAAGGCTGGAAAAGACTTCAAGGACCATAACAGAAGCTTGCATGTGGCCGAGTATCTCGATTTACTGCTTGACTTAATGATCATTTAAATAATAGAGGAAAACAATTCTTTAAAAAATTCTCAAAAGATTTAAATAAAATAAAAGGTAGAAAATTGAAGAGAATGTTGGGAGAAATAAAATCACAAATTGAACAAAAGTTTAAAAGAAAAAACAAGACAATTGACTAAAATGAAAAAAAAAATATCTTGTCGGTTTTTCGATGTAAATAGCAAACAAAATTCGAGGGTATTGACATGTTAAAAAAATACAACTTTTGGGACAGACATTCGATTTTGCTTTTAATCTTGTTTCCTCTCACTCAGAATATTTGCTTTCCTTCTCTTTATTATTTGTCTCGTATATTTATTTGTTTCTCTCTCTTTCTTTCGCTCTCTTTTTTCTTGTCTCTTTCTTTCTTTCTTTTTCTTGATCTCTCTCTCATTCCCTTTTTCTTTTAATTTATCTCTGTATATATCACTTTTTCTTCACTTGTCCCTCTTAACGTTATACTTTTAGTTTTCTCCATTTAACTATTTCGTTTTTTCTTTATCGCTCACATATTCTTTCTTTTAGTTAATTTATTTCTGTATGTTATTTTATTTTTCTCTTTTCTCTCTCTCTCTCTCTCTCTCTCTCTCTCTCTCTCTCTCATTATAGTTCTTCTCTCTTTCTTTCTCACCGTATCTCCCTTACTTTCATTCTTTATTCTTCCTTTCTTTGCACCCGTTTTTCTTTTCTTTTTCAGCCTCTTTATGTCTCTCTCTCCTTCTTTCTTATAGTAATATCATCTCTTCTCATTATCATTCTCTCTCTCTCTCTCTCTCTCTCTCTCTCTCTCTTTGGCAATTGTGATTCTACAGAAAGACGCAAATGATACCATGGATCAAACATGTGAGCAATGACGAAGTTTTATAGAAAAAGCAAACAATAAGGAAACTTATACTTAACATCAGGAAATTTCTATGGCGCATGAGAAAAGAGTGCTTGGAAAATCTGATACTCACAGGACAGATTGAATGCAAGATGGACAAAAGGAAAACCAAGTATAACATAATTAGTGAGCTTCAGTAAATGGACGTTGGAACAGGATTTAGGAAAATAGCAAAAGGACAAAATTTGTTAAGAGTTACAAAAGACAGGAAATTGTGGAGAGCCACTATCGTCAACGTCCTAAAAAAACACGATATATAACAATTTCCGCATTTTGTTTCTTCAATTTCTTACTCCGTCTGCCACGTTAAATCATTTCTTCCCCTTAATACCTTCCAGAATTTTTCTCCAGTTGGTTAAACAACTTACTTCAGCAAACATCCAACCTCGAATATATATATATATATATATATATATATATATATATATATATATATATATATATATGCAGATATGTATAAAAAATAGGAAAGAACACGTTAGGTAAATAATCCGGAGTTCTTAATATTTTTGTTTTTTATTTTAAAAAAAACAGTGTTCCATACAGAAGTAGAGCTTAAATTATAATTATTTTTCAAAAATATGATTCCTTCGCTACATAAGAGTTCTCATGCTTCAAAAAACAAGAGCCAAAAACCTCAAATTATATTGAGGTTTTTGGCTCTTATGTAGCGAAGGAAACATATTTTTTAAAAGATAATTATATATATATATATATATATATATATATATATATATATATATATATATGCATGTCTGATTAAATAAATTACAAACATTATGTCTGCTTACTTTTAGCATAATCCGTTCATATCCACGGATATTTTTCCGTGTATTACCGTCAAATGATGCAAGAAATACACTGTAACAACGAAATTCATTTTCATTTCACAAGTACTTTCCATCACTTTCTGAAACTTAGGAAATAAAAGTGATCTCATAATTTATAATATTTTACTGCATATTGATATATCTCTTTATTGATATTGTTTCCAACAAAATGTACGTATTTATTCAACACAGTATAAAGAAGTAAATTATTAAAGACTTTTGCCTTTATTTATTTTTTAAAATGATATTCACACTTTGCAAAGCCTAAGAGCCACTTGTCGTAGAGCGTAACAGAGCCACAGTTTATAGGAATATGTGTGGAAGATAACGGCTAACTCTAGATTTCATCAGGTTAAGATTAAAAGGATCGGGTAAAACATCCATTTGGGGTTCTGTCCCACAAAGCAGTTGTCCGTTTGAGAAAGCTAATCGAGTGGAACTTACATCTTATCAAAGGAATACGAAAAGAAAGCGGGTGGCTCGCTACATTGAGCGTGGCATGATGAGTTCGCTGCAATGTGCGTGGCATAGCGTGTCTTAGATATGAATGTTAGAACTGATGGAACCGCGGAATATATTTTGTTTGAACACTTTCCGTGGAGATAACGTTAGAGTAGCGAGAGGCTTATAACATTTGTCCTATGTGAAAGGATCGTAGTTGGAAAATACTTCGTCCCCTACACGGACGTCTAGACGCTTTTGGACTCTTTCGACACTGGAAAGCGGAGACTGAGTATATGCCAACAGCACTAATCATCGCTTTTTGTAACAATATGCAATAAACTTTGAATGTAGTTAAATTAATAGCGGTGTCAAGGAAAAACGTTTCCTTTTGATACTCCCTGTTTTTTGCGGGTTCGAAGGTCCACGTTTGAATGTCCAACTGCAGGATATCTACCAACTGCCCAATTATATACCGATATAGCCTCGTCTGGGGATCCTTTCTGCACGGAGCCAGAGAGTTTGAACAACACAGCTGGAGACGAATCTCCGACTGCAGGATATGTACCAACCGCCCCACGCTGTCAGATGTGGCAGAAGGCTAAATTTAATGTAGGGTATCCGAGGCCGTAGTCTCGGCCAAAAATTCCCCATAGACCCCGTATAAAACGAGATTGAGTAGCCGTTTCCTGAGACGAGACCCCGCCCTTCGATATAGCCTCGTCTGGGGATCCTCTCTGCCCGGAGGCAGAGAGTTTGAACAGCACAACTGGAGACGAATCTCCGAGGGCAGGATATCAAACAACCGCCCCATGTGGTCAGATGTGGCACAAAGCCGAATTTAATGTGGAGTATCCGAGCCATAGGCATGGCCAAAAATTCTCTGTAGACCCTGTAAAACGGGATCGGGTATCTGTTTCCCGAGACGAGATACTGCCTTCGACATAGCCTCGTCTGGGGATCATCTCTGCCCGGAGACAGAGAGTTTGAACATCAAAGCTGGAGACGAATCTCCGAGGGCAGGGTCAGATGTGGCACAAAGCCGAATTTAATGTAGGGTATCCGAGTATAAAACGGGGACGAGTAACTCTTTCCCGGGACGAGATACTGCCCTTCGACATAGCCTCCTCTGGGGATCCTTTCTGCCAGAAAGTTTGACCAGCACAACGGGAGATGAATATCCAACTGCAGACCAACATACAGTATTTACTACTGTATTTATGCCAATGTGGACATACGATTTATAGTCCGTCGGTATGCTACAACAGTAAGTTAATGTAATTTAATTTAATATATATATATATATATCTTGCTAACTGAACGCTCCTCCGGTTAAGGCACGTCAGGCTATATGACGCTTCCGTATAGGATACAGGTTCGATTCCTGTCGGAGGACGCATATTTACTATGATAATTTCTCGGACATTCAGGCCGGTAAATGTTATTAATACTGTTCATTATGAACAGAGCATTTACTTAAATATGTGTATCTATAAAAAGAACGTTCATACGTTCTTTTTATAGATACATAAAAAAATGTCTTAAATATCTCTATATATAACTACTTAAAAATTTCCGTTTTCTTTTATCAACTTTATTCGTATAATGTCAAATAAAATTACATTTTATTCAATTCTATAGTCACTATTATCTCTAATGACTATTTGTCACTTAACAGGCAGTTCTTTGATAAGCTACAAATAACATTTCGCAGATTTTGATGCAATAAAAGTTTTCGACGAATGAGAAACTTAAAACGTCTTGCAGGGATCGAAAAAAACTAACGACCGCGGTTCGTACAAGGTCAGGTAAATATGGCGGATGGGATTAGAGTCAACCAACAAAGATCAGAATTGTTTCTTGTGTTACTTTTGTTGTATACTGATACATGTCCTAGTATGTATCAATATTTGTAGGCTCTGTCAGGAATAGAAGCTGGCCATTGTCACGTACCCAGACAAGAGCAACCTGTTAAACCAATGCTTTAAGGTAAGGTAGACATACCAATAAATATAGTCTGAGTTAGTACGAGCCCGGATGAACAATTTTTGTTTGGTTTCCTGTTCCTCTAACTCCTTCCTTATCCCACTCTCCTTCTGAGATATCTGAATTTTGGCGCTTTTTTAATACATTTAAGCGGGCATAAATAGTGTTACAGATTAAACATCCACAAGTAACTGCTCTAACGAGACGGTAAGATCGAAACTTGGCTAGTGCGTTGCACGTGGAGTTCTTTTAAGCTTAAATTTTATATATTTACTGAACTCTCCCGTCGCTTTAGAAGAGGATTCATACCTTTCCCAACGGTATTAGGACATAAGTGAATGTAATGGATTCAGCGACGTATGAGGGTCAAGCAGTTCAGTTCATAGGAACATAGGATTTGATTATAGTGTTGAAGGCTTCGTGCAGAACCAACCACACATTTTGAAGAGCCGAATGCAGAGGTCTGGTGCACAACGTGCCACAAGTTCTCCGCCGCAGGTTTTGAATTCAGAGTTGTCCTTCTCCTAGACCAGTTGCCATCCAACACTATAGAACCGAGTCTGTCCTGCTATTTACCCATAGCTGGAGGGAGAAGAAGATTATTCATACATTTCTCAAGGCTATTAGCACGTGAGTGAATGTAATGGACCCGACTGGAATTCAGACTCGGCTCTCCGATTCCTCAATCCGAGCCGTTATCCTATATATATATATATATATATATATATATATATATATATATATATATATATATATATATATATATATATGTGTGTGTGTGTGTGTGTGTGTGTGTGTGTGTGTGTGTGTGTGTGTGTATGTATATATTAGCATATTAGTCTGGATAATCAATTTGTCTATAGAATCGATTTGGCGATAAATCTCAGTCTATCATATCAATTTGAAATCCAGCTGTCGATATATATATATATATATATATATATATATATATATATATATATATATATATATATATATGTAGTTAGTTTCTTTCTCGTATTCTCCATCTATTTCTCAAATATTTATTTATCTATTTGTAAATCCGTCCATTGATTAATCCTCCTTACTCCTTCCAAATCTGTCTGTCTATCTAATTAGCTTTCAAAATCACTTTACTTATAAAGTAGAACAAAATCACCTGACATTGTTACTTTTAACAAAAGCTACCTAATGGTGGGGTCGGACTGAATTTCCTGTTTTTAAATGCCCCTCACCCCCGCCCCCTTCTGCTTCCTCTTTCATGTCTGCAATTCATCTTTGGGTTTTGCCAGTTTCGTATCATTCCTCAGATTACGAATCATATATCAGGAAATAAGTTCCATAATTACCTACCGAGTAAAACCGAAGAACTAAGAGACACTCACTAACAAAGGCATACTTATACACAGACACACACGCATATATATATATATATGTATGTATGTGTGCGTGTGTGTGCGTGTGTGTTCTTGAAATTGAAAAGAGGTTGTAGACGGTTACAAAATGACGTAGTTGCCCTGGAGTCGTTGACTGAGACTTATTGTAAATTGCATTCTCACTTGAATCTGATGTTCAGTATAATTCGGTAAGATGTCACCAAACGCTGACAGTTGTCTTTGATTTTTTTTCTCACTTCCCTTGAGCGTGATCTGTGGTCATGTTTGCGAAATCAGTATCACAATGCT